CTTCCCAGTCGCCCACAATTTTGACGCAAAGAATGGGCTTACGTAAATATATAGATAGATGGTAAAAATCATGTGTTCTTCATCATCGTGTGTATTTTATGGTAAAAATTAAATGTTATGGTAAAAATCACTCAGACAACTATTTTCTTCTATACAGGGTGATCAACTCAAGGCCACCATTGGGATATCGAAAACGGTAAGAATTAGAGAAAACTTTAAATGGGGGACATTCCTTTATTTTTTGTGGCAGTTAAAAATGTGATTTTATTTTTTTGAAATTCAGCCGCCATTTTCCGAAATGGCGGCCAACTTTGAAATTTCTTTTAACACCCTATATATTTTATCATGTTTTCAGATAGAACAGGCAATTTAAAAACTTTTTGTATTCTTGACATTTTTTCGATAAACCCACTCGTTAGGAGTTACAGCCTATGGAAAAATGACTTCCGGTGTACATTTTACATTATGTAGCTCCTAAACAAGTAGGTTTATAGCGAAAATGCGATGAGTAAATAAGTCAAAGAAGTCTTAATATTGCATCCACATTCCATAAAGACCATAAAATACACAGTTTTCCACTTTTCAAGTTTGCCGCCATTTTGGAAAATGGCTGCCATTTTTAAAATAATAGAATTAATAGTTTTAACGAATTTTATGGTCTTTTTGGAATGTGGATGCAATTTTAAGACTGTTTTGACTTATTTACTTTTCGAATTTTCGCTATAAACCTACTTGTTTAGGAGCTACATGATGTAAAATGTACACCGGAAGTCATTTTTCCATAGGCTGTAACTCCTAAACGAGTGGGTTTATCGAAAAAATTTCAAGAATAAAAAAGTTTTTAAATTGCCTGTTCTATCCGAAAACATTATAAAATATAGGGTCTTCTATAAGAAATTTCAAAGTTGGCCGCCATTTTGGAAAATGGCGGCTGAATTTCAAAAAAATTAAATCATATTTTTAACTGCCACAAAAAATAAAGGAATGTCCCTCATTTAAAGTTTTCTCTAATTCTTAACGTTTCCAATACCCCAATGGTGGCCTCCTTGAGTTGATCACCCTGTATAGATTAATCTTCAGTGTAATCTTTGCTCAATAGTAACAACTGATGTTTTCCCTTTCTACTGTAGGCCTAAATTGTAATTTGCTAGTATACTGTGGTTGGCTTGTTATAAACACAATATGTTACAAGTCTTTTGTTTACTTTTACCTTGTTATTTTGTTCAACCAATATGCCTTGCAACATAGTTACTTGGCAACTCATGAGGCCAATGTTAACTTTTTAAATTTTCAAATGAGTTGTGTAGTGAAATACAAATTTTCTGAGGTAGTGGCTGTCATCAATTAAGTTTTTAGGCTAGAAATAAATATTTACAACATTTAAAGGAAATCGTCGAAGCTGTTTTTGAGATCTTTATGCAAACATACATACAAGCAAACATTCCTCATATAAGAGTATAGGATTGTACATTTATGAAAACGAACTATCCTTAAATATCCCACACTCCGCACTGCCAGCCTTTACTACTTCCTTTACCACTTCCTATGTGGCGGACCTGTTTCCCTCCCTTCCCATGGCATTTTAGTATTGCAGATACATTAATCTAACTGCCACAAATGGTTCTCACACTCCGCACTGCCAGCCATTAACACTTTCTTCACCAATTCCTACGTTAATATTTATTACAAAGTTCAAAATAATTTAAATCAAATTAAATCCAAGCAGATCTGTTGGTCATAGCGCAATAGTCATTATAAACTGAGTTCAAGTATATTTGCTCTTAAACAATTATGTGGCGAACTAGAACGGCCTTCTCTCATACAGGCATACTATGGACTTTTTCATAGCAATTTAAGCTATGGGTTACTTGTTTGGGGGTCTTCTGCTCATGCAAAAGAAATTTTCAATTTGCAGCAAAGGGCAATTAGGGTAATAGCTGCTGTAGATAGGCACCATGATTGCACTGAATTTTTTAAAGAATACCAAAATTTAACACTGTTTTCTCTATTTATTAAGCAATGCCTGTTATATTTAAGACCACAATTAGATAAGTTAGATTATAGGAGAGATATACACTGCCATAATACTCGTCATAAATGTAATATAAATCTTCCTTATGTTAGACTTGCTAAAACTGATAAAAAAAACCATTAATTTTAAGCAGTAAATTTTATAACAAGTTACCAATAGCCATAAGATTACTTAGTGATAAGGATTTCAAGATTAAAATAAATAACTTTCTTTGTAAATCAGCCATTATACTCAATAGAAGATTATATGTCAAGAACACTGACTCCACTAGATTTTAATTAATGTTATGTTATGACTAATTTGACGTGCCAATGTATTTGTATGGAATATTAACTGGCAAATAAAATCTCATTCTCATTATATTACTCGCAGGGGTGCCCGCAGGGGGGTTTGATGTCGCAAAATGCGACATCAGAATTTTATTTGGGGGGGATTTTATGATTTTGGGGGGGATTCAAGCCAGTGGTTGGTTAAAAGCACATAAAAGATTAATCAGATAATTTTTACGACCTCCTTAATTTATTACTGGGGTAATTATGCAATCAAAATCCCGTTTGACATTTTATCTTGATTAGTAAATCATTTTATAATTGCTATTAAATATAGGTATAGATACTTTTATGTGGATTTCCACTTTCTGACTGTATCATGTTTGACAGTGAGAACAACTCCATGCCAACTGCTGTCAAAGGATTATGGTTGCTTATTAAATTGTATCTGCAATTTGAGTTTGTTTTTACCTTTACATTATGAACTCATTCTCAAATATTCTCATTGCCTTGAGGACCTATTGATGGTTTTTTAGGTTTGTTTATTATAATATATTCTTGATTCATAAAAAAAAACAGTATTATGATAATGACAATCATTTTGCTATTTTTACAACATGAACAACAACATGAAAGCTTGTGATAATAATATTTTGGCTCTCCCAAATAATTATGCCTGGGTCATTTATTCATTGGAATAAATTGACATACAGTACTGTGACAATTTAATTAAGGTTTTTGATAGGCTATGTGTTTACGTTAACTTCAAGAACTGAAACACATGATTCTGGATTAATTAAATTGTATTTGATTGTCTTTTCTTGAATCTAGAAAGAGCTTCAAACAAATTTTACTAGTCTATTCTATATATAATTATTTTTTTACGCCACACTACACTATTTTGACGAACTTCCCATACAAGGATTTAGTCCAGAAAACAGCTGTTTGTCCTTAATCAAATGGGGTTTCATACAGTACTACTGTACTGTAATGAGTTTTGCCGGACACCAATCAGCTGATTATACTGTATTTGGGTGGCAATGAGTGGTTATAACAAAAACATAACCTCTGGAGAGGTTATGACTAGTGATTTTTAGTCCTTTAGTTGGTGGTAATATAGGGATTTGAACGGATTTAGTAGTATGGCGTAAACTATCGTACGTCACTCGTCCAAAATGTGTTGGCCGGACTCGTAAAAAAAAACCACAACTCGACTTCGTCTCGCACGGGATTCAGGACTAGTAACGTAATATACTATTTTACCACACTATGATGTTTTTAACTGTTTTACATATAGGTAGGTACATTAATTGATGGCTGAAAGTTACGTTTTGCAGGCCATGCCAGCTGTCATCGTCATTCGGGGATCGAGCAGGTTTTTACATCCATAGGGCCGCAAAATCAGCTGCCCGCTTTAAATACACAATCAGTATCCATAGCATTGCAATAGAGTTGTTTTATTGTCACCGCTGCCTAGCAATCTATTTATTATTATTTTTGCTGATTCCTCGAATTATTTATCCACATGACCTTAAAGTTGTAGTTGTGTTGACTATATCAGTGTGCAGTGCATTATCATTGAGGTGAATTAGTGGTAATAGGGTATAGTGTGGGGTGGTGAATAATAGCGTTCGTACCACGGACTGAAATGGTTTTGCAGTTCTCGATCGTTTTAAGTCCTCGAAACTACCTCGAACCAGCAAAACCTCATTTTGGCCCTAGGAACGAAATATACTATTAAGTTTAGGCCTAGTAATATTTTTGAGACTGAATATTTTACACTTATTTAAAAAGGACCAAACTCAGAAGTTGATTAAAGGGCAATTTAGAAAATATCTCAAACTTTTTGACATAACTTCAAGTACTTTCTCCCCTACAATTTAATATGGTAAAAGAATTGTTTATGTAAAAACCCTGATCCCAAAAAAGTGGTTTTCGAAGTGATGTGTGTGTCTGTCTGTATGTGTGTATGCATGGTACAGAGCTACAGACCACGCATGTGGCCCGAGTCCGATTTTGATGAAATTTGGTATTTTAGGTACCAATCCATGGTCTCTCCAGATGTTTTTTTTTCATTTTGGATTTTTAATAGTGATATTCCATAAAACCCTATAAAATAATGGATGAATAAAATTTTCTCAGAATTGGCCCGAACGATTTTGATTAAAAATTAGCATGTTTTTTGACTATGACAAAAATTGTATAAACCCTCTACGCCGTAAAAATTATGGTTCAAAAGTTATTGCAACTTTTGTGATTTTCCCTTTTAAAACCTATTAACTCATGGAAAATCGGATTAAAAAAAACTACATGGCCAATTTTGATTCAAATTGTGTGCATGTCAAAAATCCAACTCATTTAAATTAAAACTAAACTAACAAATAGTTTTAAAGGAAAATCGTCCATTTAAATTGGGTTAAAAGTTTGATTGAAACGCTTAAATTCCCATAAATTTAAAGAAGTGTCGGGGGCACCCCTTCCCTCCCCGAATTATAAACATAACTATGGGTTAGCCCCCAGACCTTCCGGCATGGGTTAAACAACGAATTTGGGGGGGATTCTGCGACGTGAGCTTTGGGGGGGATGGGCACCCCTGATTACTCGTATATTGGGTTGTTCATCTTAATATGGTTGATGAAAATGTTTAGGAACTACTCAACTAGACATATCCTATTGTTAAATTCTTTTATTTTTTTCAGGTACGTTTTTTGCTTCCGATGCATAAGAGAAGCTATTTCAGCCAATCAGCAGTGTCCTGTTACAGGTTTACCATCTACTCTAGATCAATTAGTTAGATTGTATCCATCCACTGATACTTGAACACAATATGCTCCAAGAACAGTGTGTAAGGGAACCAGGCCAGATATTCAAGTACACTGGATGCACAAATGGGGCAAACCTCAGAAGACCTTAGAATACTGTTTAAAGATGCATGATAATAACACTTTTCACCACACTATGATGTTTTTGGCTGTATTACATACGTTAATTGGTGGCTGAAAGTTACGTTTTGCTGGCCATGCCAGCTGTCATCGTAATTTGGGGACCGAGCAGGTTTTTACAGGCCGGGGCCGCAAAATCAGCTGTCCGCTTACTTACTTAAAACATGAATGCATTTTAAATACACAATCAAAATCCATAGCATTGCAATAGAATTGTGTTATTGTCACCGTTGCCTAGCAACTATATATATTTTTATTTTTGCTGATTCCTCAAATTATTTCTTCACATAACCTTATAGTTGTAGTTGTGTTGACTATCAGTGTGCATTATTACAGTGGTGAATAGTGGTAATAGGGTAAAGTGTGGTGAAAAATAGCGTTCGTACCACGGACCGAAATGGTTTTGCAGCTCTCGATCGATTTAAGTTCTCGACTTCGTCTCGAACTTAAAAACTATCTCGAGCCGGCAAAACCTCATTTTCGGCCCTAGGTACGAAATATACTATTGAATAATAAAAGAACAATTCATTCTTGAATTATTGTATACCAATCCGGTACTAATAGCTTCAATATTTGGCTCATCATACTTTGATGGTAATGGTTCTGGGTCCTTGTTCTACATTCCTTTCAATAAATTTTGGTTGATAAAAAGGTATAGAATTTATATTTTATTATTTTTATGTGATATAGTAATTTAGGTATGTATTAAAATATTTTAAAATCTAAGACTTGTTCCTTTTGTTCTTTTTACCAATCCAAGATGATTATTATCTAAGTGATTAAAAAACAAGTGTTTATTTGAGAACTTGCCTTCGGTGCAAAGTTTTGTGAGTCAAAGCAAAACTGGCACATCTTAAGCCAACACACACCGGGTATCTGTCTGCATGCAGACATAAATATTGCTACCCTGCTTATTAAATCGGTCAACACAAAGTGACGTGACGAAATCACTCGGTCAGCGATTTCAGCCGTCTGTGCCTGGACATTCCCCCTCTCCTATCCTTAGTGCACCTCCCTCATCCAAACCTCTGCACCCCCGAAGCTCGTCAAAAAAAACTTAGTCACAGTCTTGTAGACCTTAAATAACCGGTAGGTGTCTTGGCTGTTTTATATGGTGCTTGCTAGTTTAGAAGTTTATAAGATATATTATTTACAGTCATATTATCATTATAAAGGACACGAGACTGAAATTGCCCCGTAATATTGTTGCAGAAGAAAAAGCCTGGGATGTTGAATTGTCTGTCCACTGGATGGACGATTCGGTGTGTGTTGGCCATAAGATGCAGTAAAGGACGTAGGAAGTCCGTTTGTGACCCCATAGTTGTTATGGGTCGGACTAAAAAAATAACAAAAACTTATGCCAAACTCGTATTTAAGCTCCTTTATTAGTTTTCAGACTCGAAGCTCTAATCTAATCACAGCTTACAACACTGTTGAGTGGTAAAAATAAGCATTTTGAATCATACTGTAGGATATCATTACTGAATTTGGCTATTTCATTCTGAACTTGTGCTGAAGAGTGGTTAACAATATTACCAAGAAGCCATCCAAGTTCGATCCTCAAATGTGTATAAGTGGCTAGAGAAATCTTCTGAATTATCCTTTGAACACTTTTCCAATGTGTAATTATTTCCAGAGCACAAACCCCAGAATTTTCCGCAGCTAGATTAGCAATAATTCTGACACAAGCAGTGAATTTCAAAACTGTTTCAACAGTAATGTCCTCGTCTACCAGGAAATTTAAGCATTTCAGGTGTAATTTATGGTTAATTAGTTGAGGTTCTGATGCTTCCATACACGATAATAGATAGATAGACTTGACAAGCTCTTCGCTTGTAGAGTTCTTCAGTCTGACAATAGTATTTGTGGTGTCTTGTATTTCTTCAGCCCTAAAATGAACACATCAGTATTAGTTCACAGAAATCATAAGTAAGCCACAATTTTTCTAAACACCCTATTAATGTATCATTATTAAACTTAACCATCTTCTTCTTGCTGATGTTAGCATGGTAGTAATATCCTTGAAAACTAGTTTTACCCTTCAAGTGACAAAATGAGTCAAACATGTAAATACAAATACATAGCCATCATCCAATCATTATCATGTATGTGAGGATCTTGTCCTGCCAGTAAAAAATACCTAGTGATGAAACGATTAGGCATACTTCTACAAGTAGTAAAATAGTAACTGACACATATCAGCTAACACACACCAGAGCATACAGTATGTCCTATATGCGGTGTTCTGCTCCTCTACAAACAACATGGTTTGCATTTTTATTGTTGGCTCAAGACATAAAAACTCAAGATTTTCTTAACACGTTCACGGCGGCATGGGAGCGATCGCTCCCATACGGAACCCTAATGCCATCCTGGTGGGTGCGATCGCTCCCAAGCTGCAATGCAGTACAAAATGATTTATTTTTAAGCCAGGATTAGAGCTAGAAACTTGAAACCTTGCACAGCACTGCTCAATAATATACTGTATTTTGTGACGCCGTGGGTTCTCACTGGACAGTGCTGCTGCGACGGTAGGTGTGGCGCTTTCAGTAACTATAAGTCAGTGTCAAGTCGGACCACGTGCGCGACTGTTTTGATCGCTGTTTCGGAGTTTTTGTGTTAGTTTTTCTTCTAAAATGTCGGACCCGGATAATCCAGACTTTGTATTTAGTGACGGGGAAGGTGATGAGACAAGTGACAATGAAATTGACGTTAGTAGTGAGCGGGCCCGCGGTGCGGGGGGGCCCGTGAGCCTTGACCGGGATTTTCGGTAAATTTTACCGGCACACGGGCCCGCGATAGTGTGACAGGCTCAGCCACATGGGTCCCCCCCTATCATAAAAATATTTATATGAGAATTAAAATACGTTTTTTTATGATGAAAATTTGTTCAGACCTATAGTTCAAGTAGTTTACAACAGCTACACTAACACTATTACTTGACCGATCTATATAAATTATCTACCAACCTAAGTAAAAGAATTGTCATCAGTCATGCGGGTTGCATTAACTGTCCTCGTGAATTGTATGAAGGCGCAGTCAAAATTGGTTGCATAATAATAGGGCCGAATTTAAAACCAATGTGGCCTCTGGCCTAGGAAGATAAAACATTAATGTTAATCATCCCTAGCCCCCAGCGGGTGACACCATAGAGGATCCTCTATGCTGATTCGACTAAATAAACTTGACAATTTTGTTACGACCAAAATCGGCAAATTAACCTAGGTGGCTAGGGCACTAGCTAATAAATAATTCTATTCTTTCATTGATGCTAAAGAAGGATTTTCATTTCATTTCGTGTCTTACTATTAGGAGGCTGCCCTTTAGATTTGTTTATTTCGCACTTTAGATGTGTTTACATCGAGTCGGGTAAAAAATGTTACTTACCTAAGGGCCTCAGGCCAAATCAGATCGGTTCAAAATAGGGCTGCTTTTGAAACGGTTGATTTTTATAATAGGCCTATAATGTCGATTTTCGAGCCGAGCAGAGCCTGGACTACAAGCTTGAGAGATCAAGCACAAAGTCAGATAATCAAGCTCGTGCCGATTTTCTCAGTATTCAATTAATAATGCACAATTAAAAGTAAAAGCTTTTATATCCGTAAGGATCACGCTCACGAAATTGAATGATTAGGCCTATGCTTTTGCCGCGATCGCGGATATCGACGAGAACATTTCCCCGCGGGTGACGATGACGATGTCTCCGCGGCCGCAGTTGTTCAATATTTTTCCGCGATTGCGGAAGACGATAATGACGGTTTTTAGCGAGAGATATATCTAGGATTTAGCCACGATTACGAAAAAATGATTTATCCATCACCACCAACGGGTCGCGGGGAGATATTAGGCCGTGATATTAGATCGGGGCGTGAACGTGGGAGACAATGATGCTGCTATCTAATGATGTCATAGGTTTGGTTGCATTTGCAATCACGGTAAACTATGATAATGTTTCTTCCATGACTTATGACTACGGGAAGTATTTACGATTTTGCCGCGACCATGGAAGACGATAATGAGGCCTCGGGAGATGCCTTGTCAAGTTTATTGAAAAATTGCAAGGTTAGGCGGTAATACATGGGAAAATGTTTTTAAAGATCATTGGGAGAGGGGGGCCCGGCGAACAAACTTCGCCGCCACTGTAGTGAGAATATAAGTGATGATAAAGATGCACCAATGGACTATAACCCTATTTGGTCTACGCAGACAGCAGGCATGAGGGACATATTACCTTTTCGAGGGGAACCTGGAATAAAAATAAATGTGCTAGGTGAGGGTAGGCCTAGTGATTGGTTTTGGTTGTTTTTTGACAAAATTACCTTAGAGTCTAAAGTAAAATATACTAATCAATATGCCGAACAACTCTACTACGGACCACAACGGCAACCTAATTCAAGAATAGGAAATTGGAAGGAACTGACGATTCCTGAACTGAAAAGGTTTATAGCCCTATTGTTTCACATGGGGAATGTAAGAGTAAGCCGAATAAGGGATTACTGGAAAACAATTGAGATGTATGACCTCAAGTACTTTCGTAAACATATGTCAAGAGATAGATTTCTGATTATTTTTAGATGTTTACATTTTGCAGAAATCACTAAAGAGTCTAATGACAGATTGGTCAAAGTAAAATATTTTATAGAGAATTTCAACAATACTATGGTGAGGATTTACTACCCAGGGAAAGAGTTATCATTAGATGAAGGTATATGATTTTGTGGAGAGGACGACTATTGTTTCGTCAGTATATAAAGGGGAAGAAGCATAAGTATGGCATGAAAGTTTATTCTGTTTGTGAGCCTGATGGTTTGATGGTACGATGTACGATTTATTCTGGAAAAGGTGGGGAATTGGGTGGAAAGGGACATGCCCAGAAAGTTGCTGAGTTTCTTGTGTCTGGAATGATTCGTAATGGTCATTCATTGTATATGGACAATTACTATAATAGTTTTGTACTGGCAAGTGAGTTACTCAGGCGCGGAACGTACTCAACTGGAACACTTAGAGCCGATAGGAAACATAATCCTGAAGACGTGAAAGGTGCAAAGCTACAAAAGGGTGAAACACTGGCTAGATACGCGGAGGGCGTTCTAGTGGGAAAATGGCGTGATAAACGTACAGTGATGTACATTTCCACGGAACACAAAAACACGATGGGTGTATCAAGGAACAAAAGAAACCAGCTCCGTGAAAAACCCCTTCCAATCATTAAATATAATGCACATATGAAGGGTGTTGATCGCCATGACCAGTTGTTAGCGTATTACCCTTTCGAACACAAAAGTATTCGATGGTATAAAAAAGTGTTTATTCACTTTGCGATGATGTCAATGGTCAACGCCTACAAATTGTTCTCCCTGGCAAATCCAGGTGAAAAGAGACACTATATGACTTCAGACACGAAGTAATACAATCAGCACTGGAAATACCAGCTCCAGAACTGCAGCCTTTACGGAGTCAACTTAATACTCCGCCCAGCCGCCCAGTGCCACATGTCCTGTCCAAAATTGAGAAAAAGGAAGGTGCAGCCAGAGTTCGTCAGCGAAAATGCGTTGTTTGCTACAGAGAAGGAAAAAAGGAAAACGGTCTCTGTACTTTTGTGCACAGTGCCCGAACGAACCAGCTCTTTGCCCTTATTTCATTTCATTCATTATTTAGTATTAATTTTTTTTTAATGTTAACTTTTATTCATACACCTAATAATCACTCCTCAGAAAGGCTGCCCTAATATTCATTTTCCTAATTTATTTAATTTCATTAATATGTTCAATTAATCATTAATAATATTAATTCATAGCCAATTTTTTTTTTACAAAACCCACAACCTAATTATTTATTAAATATGTAAGAGAATTGCAATACATCAAAATTTCTTATAATATCATTTCAAAATTAGTCATTAAGGAATCAAAATTTAAGAAGCAGTGAAAGTGATCCCATGTGTTCAACAATGAATGATGTGAACATTTAAAAGTTGTAATTGAGAGAGAAGAAAGCCATTGGAGAAGTTGAAATTGTTAGAAGAAGGAGTCAAAATTTTACCTAAATCAAATTCATTCATCAAGAAAACCAGTTTCAAGTTATATCACAGTAGCCTAAACCTCAAGAGGACTCAACTCCATCATTGTTATCTTCAAAATTAAGTATAACCTTTTTTTAAACTCTTTTAAATTTTGTGCTAATTGGACTTACCTTTTGGACAACACCAAAATTAGATTTTTCATTGTTGGGATTTATAAGTTTAACACATTAATTAGGCCTATTTGGACACTATCAAATTTATTCATTCTTAGCATTCAAGCCAGCACGACACCCTACCCTGAGATATATCACATCTAAATTATTTGAACCTTCAAGTTATTATTCAAATTTATCTTTTATTTCAATTTAATTTCAACCCCACACACCATTGTCAATCCTTTCATTGTAACGTCAAGCCTTTTCTCATTGCATGTTAATTGTTCATTTGTTTTAAATAAAACACCTTTTGTAATCCATATATCTTTGTCAACTTATTAACTTTAAACATTTATAGAATAGGCCAAGCCTAAATGAATATTATAAGGTGAGTTTACAATCTTGTGTATAGATTGTAAGCATAATATATTGTTTTGATATGTTTGTGAATATGACCAAATTGATAAAAATATAATTTTTCTTAATTTTCCCTTTTGAGAGACATACAGGGTGTTCATTTGAAAACTTTCCATATCTGTTGTGTGCAAAGGTAAGGCTTTTAACACTTGTTTGTTCTCATTTCCCCCTAATTTGGACATGCCAAATCCAATAAAATTATTTTCAATTTTGAAAAATGCCCCAAAAGGGCCCAATTTGGATGGTAGGGGTGCTTTTTGAGAAATTTTCAAATGTAAACATGGGTTGTGTGATACATCAATTTAAAGGTCTAATCACCCCGATCATTTTGGTGCAAAAAAAGTTTAATTATCTTTAACCGTATTTACAGGGTGGGTCAAAACGTTTTAAAAAAGGACTTTGAAGTTAAGTACCGTATTACCCTAACTACTGAACGGAACAGCGCCAAATTTCTTTCCAAGCTTATTCTTGAGCTACTCTTTAAGATAACTTGTAGTAAGGGCATTTTCCAAGTTATTTTCTAATTTTTAAAAAATCTCAAATTTTAAGAATAAAAGAAAGCTGAAAACTCAAAATTCTTAAATAGCAAGGTATAACAAATTTCATACCACGTGAAAGGTCCTTTTTTAACAAACATTTTACGTATTGAAGTTCTCTTTCTATCTCTTACCGTTTAAAAATTGCAGTAGAAAAACATTATTTTCTGTGGTAAAATTGTAACTAGTTTTCTAATAAAACAGCCAAAATTCGTCTCTAGACACATTTAATGGTGCAATAACTGAAGGAAACAATTCATAATTATTTTTAGGCAGATAGGCAAACAAGTCATTATGTTTTACTTTGTGAGAAACAAGTTTTATAGCTGATGAGAAAAACCCAAGCGTGGGCCGCTTTCTGTAGTACCATTGACTAGTCAATGGTAGTACTAATTTCAAAAGTACCATTTCCTGTAGTACCTAATCAAATATGGTGTAAACTTAAAAAAATATACTTTATTTTACTTATTGGTCATAACAAAAGTGTTCCAGGATAACTGCAAAGTGTTTAACAATAGATATCCAGGTATAACCTTGAGTCATATGGCTGTAAATGATTTAGTTAGGAAGTTTTCTGAAACTGGCTCAGTTACCATTGAGAAAAGAACAGGATGAAGGGTCCAAGATGAATTCTGACACACGTAAAAGTAGTCGATCAATTTGTTATGAATCCTACTACATCGTTGAACAAAGTGCAATGTGTTTTATTAGAAAACTAGTTATAATTTTACCATGGAAAATTATGTTTTTCCACTGCAATTTTCAAACGGTAAGAGATAGAAAGAAAACTTAAATACGTAAAATGTTTGTTAAAAAAGGACCTTTCACGTGGTATGAAATTTGTTATACCTTGCTATTTAAGAATTTTGAGTTTTCAGCTTTCTTTTATTCTTAAAATTTGAGATTTTTTAAAAATTAGAAAATAACTTGGAAAATGCCCTTACTACAAGTTATCTTAAAGAGTAGCTCAAGAATAAGCTTGGAAAGAAATTTGGCGCTGTTCCGTTCAGTAGTTAGGGTAATACGGTACTTAACTTCAAAGTCCTTTTTTAAAACGCTTTGACCCACCCTGTAAATACGGTTAAAGATAATTAAACTTTATTTGCACCAAAATGATCGGGGTGATTAGACCTTTAAATTGATGTATCACACAACCCATGTTTACATTTGAAAATTTCTCAAAAAGCACCCCTACCCCCCAAATTGGGCCCTTTTGGGGCATTTTTCAAAATTGAAAATAATTTTATTGGATTTGGCATGTCCAAATTAGGGGGAAATGAGAACAAACAAGTGTTAAAAGCCTTACCTTTGCACACAACAGATATGGAAAGTTTTCAAATGAACACCCTGTATATGGGTTTCCCATCTTAATTTGGAATCAATTACCACCCTGAGATGCTTGTATTGCGTTGCCTCGTATTGGTTTTATTATTTCATTTTTTTACCACATACAATTTTACTGTATTTGTTATTTTTACTGTCACTTACGTCAAATGTTGGGCTCCAACTCGAAGAAATTGAGTCAAAGTAGTTAGTGAATTGTGTATTAGATCTTCTCTCATATCTGGCAGATTATCATTTTCTGATACTAATTGCAATAGTTTCCCCATGAGTCCTTGGGAATGTACAATCTTCCACGTCTTCTCGTCACTTCCGACTAGATTTCCTAATGCCCAAACACTTATTGCCTGAAAAAGTCAGACATATTTTATTTTACTAGCAGTTACACGCAGCGCGTCTGCGCTAACAACTATTATTTTAAATGGTAATTTGTTCTTTAGGTTATAAATAATAAAATATTTATTTTACTTAATTGCCTGTGGATAAACAATGTTTTTTGTTTTTTTCATTAGGTGTATGAATATACAGTATAAGTTTTTAGGCTTACCTACCACCACGTGAGCATGCAACATACAGCTGTCCATGTGAAAAGCATGCATTTTCTAAATTTAAACCGGCGATAGTCAGGGATTGCCCATGTGCCTTATAATGGTGATTGCGAAAGCAAGACGCAAAGGAAATTGTAGTAGCTTGAATTCAAACGGTAATTCGGATGAAATCATCGGTATTCTTGGGAATAAGACTAATTCCGATATTCGTATTTGATTTTTTGAAAAATTGTAAATTTTGTATATATTGTGGAATAAAACTGATTTCATTTGATTTGATTTGATTTCTCCTTTAAACTTACCACTGATGATTGTAGCTTCGATCAAGTTTGGTGTCATTTTTTGAATCGTCAGTCTGGTTCCGTTGCACAGCTTGGGTGGATTTAAGTTTCACATTAGTATTTTTTTTGTCTTTTGTCCTAAGACGCTAGGCACCAGCCTGGGATTGTTTTTCACATTACTTCAGGCTAGACCAGGGGTTGCGGCATTATCACTTAGATAAAATCCATTGTTGATTTGGCGGGATTTGAACCCGGGACCCCAGGGACCGAAGTCCCGTGCTCTAAGCACTACACCAGCTCGCTCCCCCCCCCCCCCAGTTAATGTTTTAAAGTTTAACTGATAATTTCTAATGAATGCTTAACACTCTGCTTTAATTATAGTTCACTTGTTGCAACAAAGTTTTTCCAGCATTGAGAACTGAAGAAAACTGTTGCCTTACTGATAACCTGTGTTAAGTAATTTACGTTGGGTCACTTTATTTCTTTGATCTGAGACATCCCCCTGAATCAACAAAATTTCCCCGTAGAGAATCCTGAAAAGTGGGGTGATATCAACCATTTCAAGTGCTCTATTTTTTACCCACAAACTCTGGATCACCAACTGGACAGCCATAATCTGCTTTGAATAGGCTAAAGCAGCAACACCATTGAAAGTTGGTTAACATATTTTAACGTGTTGTCTGTCAGTCACAGTATAATGCCCCGCATCAGAACATTCTCACATTGTTAAGTGGAGTTTCTCTTAATAACTGTCTCAAAGTTTTGAAAGTATGGATTCATTTGTCGAAATAGGTTGGATAACGCTTGTAGCTTTACGATTTAGATAGCAGTTTTCATTTTCTCTTTTTGAACAGCGTATATTATTTGCCTCTCCTGAATCATAAAAATAAACTTGACCATAACTACTCGATCGTTGAATACATAAACACCAATTCCTTCACTTATGTTTGGTCTAATATTGCCACTAAAAGTTTCAAAAGCAAATTAGTTTTTGAAACTTCTTATTTTTGACTTGAAATGTCTGGATTGTGTTGGTGAATTTAGTCAAAAAAAATTTGTATTTAAGTTTGTCCGAGGAAATGGCCACATAACCTAGAAGTAAACAATCCATTTGCGTTTTTTCTCAATTGAAGTAAAGCGAGAGTAATACAAACCTTAACAATAAAAACATAAGGTCCGCCAAGATTTGGTATAATCTTACTACTTGAACTTACCATAGCCAAGGCATTATTGTAGTTTCTACTAAATCTTTTGAAATATCTCGCTCTGTCAGTGTCAGAAGTAAACATTTCTTGCATGGATTAATTTTATCTGACATTAGGCAAGTTTACTTTACTACCGTGACAACACTATGTTCTTCGTATATTTTTTACTTCCAAAGTAAGTTACATAGCAGAACTGGCAAATAGTATCTATCTCACCAAGTGAATGTGTATCTAGGTGTGTATCTGTTGGATCAGGACTCTCTTTTTCTACTCTCCTCATACGCATAAGATACGGTATTATCTTATACCGTATCTATCTATATATTAATAGGCAAGCATGTTTCTTTAAAACCTTTTTTCTCAGCTCGTGTGTATCGTAGGGAAAATCTACGCATACCGTTAAAAAGCTATATTCCTGTAGGTGTGCAGAATCCCTTTATAAATTAAAATAGGCTCAAAAATAAGCACAAAAAATGAATTTGAAATTTTAAAAAATTAACATGGGTCTTATGCGTTGCTATGGTGATGACAAAATAACAACACAATATAAACAGAAAATCAAAACAAATGGAAGACATTCCAATCACATGTTTTATTTACAGTGTGGGATGAAAATAGAGAAGTTTGTACAATACATACTTTTGGTCGATTTTTCGACCACGGGGCGTGCTCTCGTAGTTATGAATACTTTGAACTCGAGGCATTTTCTGTTCTTCCAACAAAACTGATTAACTTAACTTGGTCTTAACCTACTGAATATTATAAACATTAATAGTTACTCCCAAAAAGCTAATGAGTTTCTTTTTTATAAACAATTGTTTTTGTTTTTAAATTTGCTCTTTATATTTCTTATGGGGAAACCTCGACCTTTGAGAGGGTCTCACACCCTTGAGGGTAGGAGTTTTTAAATTCTAAAACCTTATTGCAAAACTACATATGGAGACATATCTTTTGACACCTGTAAAGTTGTAATTAGTCCACAAATAAGGGAGTTGTGTTAACAAAAAACGGCTTCTCGTATTATATACAGATAGATTGATATTTGAGTACAGAGATATTTGTAAACATTGTAGTTCCAAAAGTCTGACATTGGACCCCTTAAAACCCTCAGAGGCGTAGCCCTTGTGACAAATCTGCACCAAACTTCACACAAACCATCCTTGAATAATGCTTAATAATGCCTTCAAATTTCATTACAATCTGTCTAGCGGTTTCAGAGTCCATAGGGTTTATACATAAACATACATACTTCCTCTTTTATGGATATAGATAAAGTAGGGGTATATTTATAACAAAAATGGTTACAAATTTAATAAAAGGTCTCTTTGCCGATGCAGCATCCAAAGAAAAGCAAAATATTGGTAATTAATAAGTTTCTCATAAAATATTTTTTTATGAATACTGCGGAGATATTTTGCTTACTTTGTGTAGGTTAATTACGAAAAAACTTATCACCAACCCTTGGGTCAAAGAAAATTGTAGCTTAACCTTAACAAAAATCAAAACTTTATTGAGACATTTAAATAATGTACACCTCAATTCATTTGAAGAATTATTGGGTTGACATTCTTATTAGGCCTATGTAAATATTTGGAATTTCAGCTAATGTTATAAAAAAATATGCACAGAAATATAAAGATGTACTATATCAAAGCTTAGTTTACATATTTGCTAACTACTTTTGATAATGGTGTGTTGATAGAGGTGTTAAATGTCATCGGTTCGCTTAAGAGTAAGAACTCATGTGGGTGGGACGGTATCTCTCCAAATATTTTGAAATTTTGTGGTAATCAGTTGGCTTACCCTGTGTCTATTTTGATAAATCATTCCCTAGAGCAAGGGAAATTCCCATCAAAATTCAAGTTCACAAATATATACCCTCTTCAAAAAAAGAACGACAGCCACTTGCCAAATGACTTTCGGCCTGTTGCTTTGGTGTCGACATTATCAAAGATCTATGAAAAGATTGTTCTTAGTCGTCTCTCTAATCATTTGTCAAGGTTTCATAACATAAGTCCACATCAATATGGTTTCCAAAAGGGCAAGTCCACTCTTTCTGCTCTTTATGACTTCACGAACTGGATATTGCGATCCCTGGATGAATCGCAGAGGACGATGGGGGTTTTCTGCGATTTATCCAAGGCGTTTGATTGTGTGGACCATTGCGTTTATTCTCTTGGATAAACTTTTTCATTATGGTGTCAGAGGCATTGCTCTGCAGTGGTTCCGCTCTTTCTTGTCTGGCCGTTATCAAAAAGTCTCCATAAATAGTTCCTCAGGTCTGATCTCATCGTTTATATGCTTTCTCAGCGAGGGGTTCCCCAAGGATGCATTCTCTCTCCTGTTTTATTCCTATTGTATATCAATGATCTCCACTATGAAGGAAATGACTGTCACATGAGTTTATTCGCTGACGATGTAGCACTTCTAATCAAGGCCCCAAATGCAACCAGCTTAGAGAACAGCTTCACCTCGGTCATCAAGAGCTTAAATAGTTGGTTTGAGTACAATGGTCTTCTCCTTAACAAAGACAAAACGCAATGTCTCAATTTTGGTCTGATTGATTTGTCTCAGCAGGGCCGGATTTCCCAATAGGCCCGGGCCTATGGGCGCAAGGTCCCAGAGGGCGCACGGCCAGGAAGAATTTTTTTATAGGCTATCTAAAAATAAAAATAAATAGTCATAGTTGATCAAAAAAACTTCTGAAGTTCATAGGAAGAAATTATTGTTATGAAATTTAAAATATTTTTCAGAATTACGCATCAATTTCGTTACAAAATTACTAACGAACATTGGTTATACGGGAGTAGGCTGTAGGGATGTTGACGTTGACGAGCGCCCAAGGGGTACGCATCGTATTGTCACTGCACTGGGCCACTATGCTGGCTCTGGCTCGGGCTTGGCACTACTGATCAGAGTGATTAGGGGCGCATGCGTGCTTGACATTGTTACCACCCTCACTTCACAAAACAAAAGTTATTAACCAGTCTTTTGATTAGTTTACAACAATCTGCAGGATCAAGTTAAAATATATAATACGTTGTGTTGAATATTAAAACAACTATGGATTTAAGTTTAAAATTAACGAAAAAATATTAATCTCAGTTTGCATTAGATTTTAGAAACATTCAATACCCCCCAAAGCACCATTAATGCTGTCATTTTCTCCTCAGACCTAAGGATCGGTATGGTTGGCCAGAATATTGCTCTGTTTTGCTTTGGAAATATAACCTAGATGCAGTACGACCATAGACTAAGTATAACTCAAGTCGACTTCTTATGACATTGTTAATTCAAAATATTTTCATGTCTAGTTCATGGTGGTGATACTGGACGTTAGTTTTAACGTAATTTTGTTTCTATTATTTTAGGGTTAGTTCTAGGATGTGTGTTTTAATTTCTTGTAATATAAACGGGAAACGACCTATTGTTGATGATTAGATCGTTTTATTTTTGATAAACTAGGTTTAAACATAGATAAAACATACTCCTTAAATAACAAGAATTGTTTTCAGCTAATCCAAAATTATGACAAATCTACTAAAGGATTATGTTTAATCTATGGTATCACGTACTGTATGGAGTTCAGGTTTTGGGCCTGGAATTTGAATCAATGGCCATGTTTTATTCAGAAATTCTCGGTGGTTTGAGTTGTTTTGTTTTAGTCCCACGGCCTCAAACGTGATCATTTATTAAAAGCATAAAATTGCTTACAGTGTTTAAGACGGCATTTTGTTAAGGCTAAACAAGTAAATAAAAAAAACTTACAATGATTCCGACGAGGAGTAGTATTCAAGCAATTAACTTAGGCCTATAGCCATGATATAGGCAGTTTTTAATAAAGGTTTGAAGGAAAGTAACTGTGACCAGACTAGGGGGCGGAAAATTATTTGGGCCTAGGGGCGCAAAAATGCTAAATCCGGCCCTGTGTCTCAGAATAGTCAAAGTATCCCTGCAACGCAACTCACAAATCATTCATTGACCACAAAATTCCTAGGTGTCACTTTTGATTCCTTCATCAAATGGCATGGTCACGTGCAAAGCATTGTTAACCGCACCAGTTCTGCTCTGCTTGCCATTCAAATTCTCAGTTCAATTTGTAGCAGGGAAGTTCTTCTGGACGTCTATTGTGGTTATTGCGAAAGCATTTTACGTTATGGCATTGCTGTTTGGGGAAGTTCTCCTGATTTGGAAAGAATACTCAAGCTCCAAAAAAAAGATTCTGAGGCGCATTTTCGGTCTCTGCCATCGTCATCCTTGCAAGGAAGTATTCAAAGATTCTGGCATCCTTACAGTGCATTCGTTGTACATTCAGCAGGTCCTCATTTTAACCTTTGTCAACAGGGGTCAATTTCTACATCTAGGACATTTCCATGACCACCGAACGAGAAATGGAGGCAATCTCTGTTATCCGAGGCACAGAACTGCGGCCTTTGAGAGGAGTCCGTTTTACAGGGGAATCACATTTTTTAACAAAATGCCTCTGGCAATAAGATCCCTAGACTATTTACCCCTATATAAGAGACACTTAAAAAAATTTCTAGGCTCGAATGCTTTTTATTCTGTCTCAGAATTTATAAACCTCTAATGTGTATATAAAAGGGTCCTATGTTGTCTAAGTCTCATGTTATATGTTTTAGTTTTAGTTATGTAAATATTGACAATGCATGATATTTGTTACATGTTATTGTATACAAATCTAATATGCAAATAAACGATTTGATTTGATACCATCGATCCAATGCTAACACAAAAACATAATTTGATCAGTTGTTATCAATAAAATATCACTAACCTTCAGATTGTCATTGAATCCGCTTAAGGTAGTTAACAGATAAGGTCCAGCTGCTTTAGCAACAATAAAACAAGATTTTGCATCACCAAGTGCCAAATTACAGATACATTCAGCTGCTAACAGCTCAAAATTAGGTTTTGCACCTGAAATAAACCAAGAAGATATTATTAAAACTGAGGAATATTTTAAGCTCAATGTAATAGTCTGAATGAAATGAGTAGGGTATAAAAATAACATAATTTGATAAAATAACATCATTGGAAATTATATTATACTAGCAGTTTGACTACTACCTGCCCTTCGTACGGGGTTGGCATATAAGTATAAAATGCTTATTGCAGTTATACTCAAGCTTTGCGTTTGCAATGGGGGAGGGCACATTTTTATAAAATTTGCTTCTTTAAATTTATGGTATACCACTTCACCTAAACAACAGAGACAAAAATATATAAAAAATTTGCAAAATATCACAAATTATTCAAGAAATTAAAAACATAAACATAACTGAAAAGAGTCCAACTTTGACAGTTCTTGTTGCATATCACAGTTATTTGTTGCTGCTTAGTTCATATAGTCAATGGCTCAAATTAGCTGTTTTCATAAATGCAGAAAAATTATAGTGCTGCACCCTGTTGGTAAATCTTATAACATTTAATGCTTTTGCATGTCATAGAACAAATTTTTTAGTTGAAACAGGTGACTAAATTCTTTAATTCCCTTTAAATATGAACACTCATAAGGTTAACATGGGGAACTACAGAGCCACTGGGGTGGAGCCCGAAAGGATTTTGAGCTAAGAATATGCCTAAATGTTAATCGGAAATGTGAGCTATCATCATGCCAAATTTCAGCCCAACCCGTCCAGTAGTTTATGTGTGATTGAGCAACACACACGCACACACACACACACAAACACACAAACTTTCGGATTTATAATATTAGTAACTAGTAAGATTATTAAAGTGGTACAGTCAAATTCTCAAATTTTTTGTCATTGTTTAAGGCCACTAACCAAAAGAAATATAGGCATATAGCACATCAAACTTAAGCTTTGGGTGTGTATATTTGCCGAAAAGAATTGGTATGAAGGAATTTCCTAAGGGCTCTGCCATACAGGCAGATATCCTAAGGGCTCTACCCTACGTGCTTTCAAAGATTTCATGATATAATTAATTGATTAACCCTTTTAATGCTAGAATTTTTTTGTAATTCTCCAAAAAATGCTAGGCTTGCCACGGGGGTGAAGTCTAGTGTGCGAGAAAAAAATCAATAAAAATAACATTTTTATCATAAAAGTGTTAAGGAACGATATATTGGGCCTCGATCGTATGAGAAATCGAAAGAAACCGTCGCTGTTTCGAAACAACAACTGATATACCCATTTACACTCACACCGGTTGAAAGACGCGCTGACACGATATATCGTCGCTTAGCCCTATTCGGATGAAACACGAACAACGATATGTCGTTCTATAGCATTTTTTGGGAAAAAGACGCACAACGATATATCGTTGCATAGCTCTGAAAGGGTTAAATGAGAGCAGCTGATCAATGAATTAGTACAGCCCAGGTCTAGGAAGGTGTTTTTGTTAGTATTTATTTACATTGGAGGAATGTTTTAGTTGTTTGGTAAGAGGGCTATTTTAAAAATGGAAGGTAGTGAAAGTTCTGTTGAATTTTGCTAATATTTTTCTGTAGGACTGTATATAGGTAAATAGGCTTGAATATAATTAATTGAAGAGTCAGAATAAAATATCTTCTGAAACATCATACAAGTAGGCCTAATTGATTCTATTGGTACACTACTGTAATTACAGCTGGTTTAATATTTTACTTTTAACTTGCTAACACATGTTATGATTATTGTTTGTTTTTTTATATTTCAGTTTTTACCTAGTTACTTAAATAACAGGTTGTACATTTTTCTTCAGAAACATTATTTGGCACCACTACATGGTGACAGCGGTTTGGCGGTTTAGTAACAACCACAATGTCAGTATTGTCGGAAATTGATGAATTGACAAAATTGTTGACTAATTTATTTAAGAAATCTCAAAAGCCATCTCCACATGTGAGTACTGTTCATCTAGAGCCACTGGAGCCTTTTGATACCCGGGAACCTGCAAAATGGTCTCAATAGATACAAAGATTTGATGTTTATAGCTCAGCATCGGGATTATCAAAGAAAGAGGAGAACCAGGAGGTAAACTGTCTAGACTATTGTTTAGGAAGTGAAGCTGATTCATTACTCACATCTATTGGACTTCCCCCTGATAAAAGGAAGACTTATAAACACGTGAAATACAAATATGATGACTATTTCTCAGTTAAAAACCTGATTTATGAACGAACGAGGTTTCTTCAAAGAGAGTAAGGACCAAACGAGTCTGTTGACAGCTACCACATATAAAAGATCTTTATAAATTGGCTGATGAATGTGGATGGTTGTGTGACAAATGCAACTTCAACACGGATCTTTTGTTACTGAAATTGGTTTCAGGTTTGTCGAATAGGACATTATCGACAAAATCGCAGCTCCAGAAAGATCATACATTAGAAGCCATAACCAGTATCCTGCAATCTGTCGCCATAGTGACTCTCTCCTGGGGCCCCATTTTTGAAATGGTTGACTGTTGAGTTGAGTGTCGAGTCATTCTATTTCCAATCGTTTCGTATTTTTGAAACGATTGACGGTGGACTTATACAACCAAAACTACTCAACACCTATCGAGCTGTTGGGTGGAGGTTGACTGCACTTTCTTCTTCCTCTCTTTCGGCAAAAATTAACTCTTTTTGAGTCGACGCCATATTGTTTTGTTATTGCTTTAATTTACTAATTGCGATTTAGAGGTTATGTATTTGTTGTCAATGTCTTAGCAAACAATACTTTATGCGATTGTTAATTTTATTTACTGTGTCAATACTAGACTATTTAATCTATTTACTTTGTTATAAGACTATTTAATTTGTTTGAAATACACTAGGCATACTAATTGAACTTATTAAAAGATAATTATTGTTATTAGACCTATGATTTAAGGTATTAAAGATTGTGGTAGAGAGGAACAATATCATAGTTTGTTTCAATACCATTCACCTAATAAAGGGATCAAATTAATTTAAGTTACGATAAGCTTTCAGTGCAATGGCAAATAGGCCTAGCCATAAGCTTTAACCTAAATAAAAACACAATTAAAAATAACATGAAACAAAACGATGAAGAAAACTAAAATAAGGTGATGTGTTCTGAAATAGATACGAAGAAAGCAAATAATAATGTATTTAGGATATGCCTAAACTTATAATGAGCTACACCATAAAACAAACAAACATCCATAGTAAATTTTATTGTTAATACTTATAAGTTTATATATTAAGGTACTTTTGCAATCACTAAGATTAAGCAAGACATAACCTCAATCCCTCAAGAACGGAGTTGACAGTTTCTCGAAATATGTTAGATTGAGATTAGCTGATCCAGATTTTAGAGTAAGAAGAGGTAAAATCGAAGATCACAAAAACTCTGCATTGTGATTGGTTTAAAATGGCGTCATCTGAATTTCGGGCGGTCGTATGCTCTACATTTCCAAAACGAGTCACTCAACTACTGATTTCCAACTCACTTCCAAACTGTTGGATTTCAAAAATACCAAATCCTGTCGTTGGTTGAGTTTTGACTGTAGAGTCAACTGTCAACCATTTCAAAAATAGGGCCCCTGAGGTGGACGTGTTGCAGAAGATGAGACTAAATAACCTAGAAATTTAACTTCTGGTACACCAATTACACATTTAGACGGAATTACCAATACTCCATAGTGAGAAAGTCGTTCAAACAGCATTCTTAGATGCTCTTTATGCATTTCTTCAGACTGGGAAAATACTAAATACCCCCGCCGCAGCAAACCTGCAGACTAAGCAAATTTCCATTTGACTGATTGGATTTACACTGAAATGTCTACTTAAAAATATAACATTTATTCCCGATTTAAATAGAATTAGTTTAACAAGTACTTAGGTTTGCTGCATCAGGGAGGGTAAAACTGTTTTTTTTTTTTTGTAAAATGTTAATAGTTAGTAAGAAATAAAAACATTTTCCAAATTTCATCAAAATATGTTCATAAACAAGCAAACTGCAACAGTTTACTTATTCGCCATAAGAATAACATGGGAATTTTAAATTTATAATTTTTTGGAATTTTCTCCGTAACCATTAGGCCCATAATCACGCTTCAATATACTAAATTATTTGTTTTTTTAAGCTCTACAAAATGGTTTGGAAAGAAATTGCTAAATTTTATGTTTTTTGGGTCAAAAATGGGAAAAACCTATTTTTACCCCATAAAACCACCCGTAAACCCCCGTTCCCATGGTCTGGTCATGCTGGATGGCGAACTCGTTCGAATAAACGTAGGTTTACACGTTTGTACAAAATTTCATCAAAATCGGATCATATTTGCTCGAGTTATCGTGCTAAAGGACATATATATATATATATATAAAAATATATATATATATAAATATATATATATATAAATATATATATATATATATATATGAATTTGAACGGATGGTGTTTTTGGCCTCTAGGGACCTCAATACAAAAAAAAAATCGGTCCCGTGTCCAGGTCTTACCATGAGTACTACGGTAATAGCTTATTCCCTATATGGGAAATTCGCTAATAAAATGTCGTAAATATATGCATAACAAAAATCAAGGCCATGAATAACTTCATCTATGAATTTTTGAAATGTTTGACCGGTGTTGCACAAGCCAAAAGTCATGAATGGAAATTCAAATAACCCAAATGCTGTGGTGATTGCTGTTTTTTGGATGTCATCTTCGTGGACGGGAATTTGGTGGTAAGCCTTAGTCAAATCAATGGCAGAGAAATGTGTACAGCCTGCTAAATTGAACGTGAAATCCTGAATATGTGGTACGGGGTATCTGTCAGGAACAGTACGAGCATTTAAAGCACGGTAATCACCGCAAGGACGCCATCCATTACCCTTTAGGCACCATGTGCAAAGGCGAGGACCAGGCGCTTTCGGAGGGTCGAGCAATGCCAAGCTTAACCATCTCCTCAAATTCTTTCCGGGCAGCTTTCAATTTTTGAGGATGTAAGCAACGTGGTCGACAGTGAAC